CCGATTGAGTCGAACTACAAGCAGTCTGATTCCCAAACTTTAGGGATATGTAGGCAGACTTAATGTTGAAAACTCGACTGTACTCCAACGACTCTATCATCACTCTATTCTCGAGCTTTTCGGTCTCTCCATATTTTGACACCGAAATAGCTTTTGCATTCTTTCAAAATTGTGCGATAAATCAAGCGTCTTTCGAACTACTAGTGGCCTGAGTTCTCATGTAATCGGAGATATGTAGGAAATCCAATACTAGGGTTCGGTCATAATTCCTCAAAATCCTTACCATTCGCCGTTCCGAAGAGATGAATTAGTGGTTGGACAAAATTGGGCTCGTCAATTTCGTTTGCCTCGAATCTCTTTCATCGATCCTAAGCAAACGAGGGGAAGTTGTTGACACTCAATTTTGACCGTCCCCACTTTAATTAATTTTCAAGCTTCTTCAATTTCGAACAATTTGAAAGTAATTGTTTTGGAAAAAATCAAAAATGCTTTTGATATCATCTTCAAAGTAATTTTTTATTTTTACTATAAAATATATCTCTATATACTTAAAATATATAGATTTATATAATTTTTTAATTTGAATAAATAATTAGTAAATCGTTTTACCAAAAATAGAGTTTTAAGTCAGTTCTCATCTTGTTTCCTTTAAAATTGATCACAATTCAATAAAGATCTTTCTTTTTGAAATAATTCCTTTGTGTTGTCGAAGTTAAGAAGCTTAAATAATTGATTAGATTCATAATTTATCTCATTTCCATTTTATCATATTTAAACTAACAATTCGAATTTGGTGAAAATGTGAACCAATGGACCTTTTCCCTCTTGAATTTCTTTTAATTCAATTGGGCCTCTAAACTTAGTAAATCAGCCAATATTTGGCCCATTTTCAATGACCCAGCCCACTCTTCTGCTAAAATACCCAGACCCGTTTTGTTCTTCTTCATTCCAACAAGATTCTCAACGCTCAAAATGTGAACAGAAAGCATGAGCTCCAAATTCCTAAATTCCCAAATTAATTCGCAGACCCAATTTACTCTTCTCTCCCTCGAATTCATACATCCTTGTGTGCAAGGCACGAGCCTTGGTACTATTTGAAGGTTCCAATGGAAATTGGAAATTTCAGCTTCTCCCACATCGTTTCTCAAACGAATTTCAATTTGCAGCAGTCCCACATCGAAAATCTTTTCAAATTTTGTGAGATTTTAGGCCTTATAAATAGGCCTTCTTCTCACTGTTCAAAGGGAGGATTTTTGAGACTTGAGAGTACCCCTAAAAGGTTTGGTAATTTTCAGTTTCGATAGTTTAAAGTTTCTTTGTGGCTATTCAAGTTGAAGAGGTGGAGTCGTCTTCACAACTCGTCCGTCCCGGTTCACTGCTCAGGACCAGGTAATTCCCCTTCTATGTT